TAAATTTTATACCTATATATTCTTTTCTTGTATCTTTATAAAGAAGGCTCACTTCCCCACAAAAGTGTCATAGAGGCAGTTTTCTACAGTCCCCCACACCTACCTTCCATGTATCCCTCACACACACACACACACACACACACACACACACACACACACACACACACACACACACACACACACACACACACACAGGTACAGCAGGGATGATGTACAATCACAATCGAAATTTTCGACACCCCCCTGGCTGGGTGTTCGCCGAGGCCAGGGTTGAGGTAAGGCTGGGTGATCGGACGCAAACTTTCCACCACCTCAACACTCTGAGACTCACAGCACACGAGCACGGAAGGAATTTTTTACGAATTTTGACATGACATGCACCTGCATAACATGATTTAATTCATAATATTGTTGGCACACATAACAATAGCAATATTGGAGTGAGGCATGAGAAACTTGGGCTGTTCTCGACCCATTTATGAAATATGAATGTTGATAAAAATCACGTGTTGATGGACTAAAAGTATCGTGACACTACTAGACAAAGAATAAGTCCCATCACAAAGATGCATATTAACAGTCAATAATCATAGTAGTGACCCACTATCAGAGCTCTGTTGGCTATCAACTCCGGGCGATTGGCTCGAGTGTTAGGTGGACGTAGCCCACGTCCTCCAGCCAGAATATCCATATCTGTTTGAAATTAGCTCCAAGTTACCAAACACCATGATTAGGACGTCATAGATATTTATCATTCAGGTGAAAATAAAAAATAATCGTATGCGTAACTAGTTGTAATATTGGTGACCTCTGTGCCAGTATGATGTGAAATTTAAAAATTAAAAGCAGCAGTAGACAGGAAACAAGGCAAGTGACCAAGAAGTAGTCACTAATGATGGCACACGGCCAGGCATCTACTTGAGGGTCGAGGTCTTTGGCAAAGTCGCTGCTCCGGACCAGACAAAAATTGTGATACCATGGTTAATGTGAATTGCAACATTCCAAGCCAAAATGCTCCAATGTAGTTACTGATGCACCATTAAATATTGTAAACATGACAGTATGAAATCCTAGTATGTGTGAAACCATAATATTCCCAGAGTTATGGTAATATCTATACATGTATAGGCCTCACCTTGTCGACTGACCGCTTACTCCCTCTTGACGAAATTCGGCCGCCGGCCAGCCTTTATATATGCTGCCCTGATGATTCATGTGTAATACGAGGACTCGCATCTAGTGGTTCCAAGTCAGTGTTTTGGGACTGGGCAAAGTTTTTCATGCTCCAATCTTAACATGTTATTGTTATGTGTGGCAACAATGTTATGAATGCATTTGATATGCAAGTTCATGCCATGTCAAAGTTCATAATAAGTTCCTTCCTGTGCTCGTGTGCTGTGAGTCTCGGAGTGTTGTGGTGGTGGTATGTAAACCTCACCATCGTAGTGCCTCGTTACCACATTACTGAACTAGTCTGCGTCCGATCACCCTGGCCTCGGCGAACACCCATCCAGGGGGTGTAGGAACTTTAGATTGTGACTGTACAGTACAGAATAATACACACGTACAGTTGCGTCAATGTGTTCCTACACCCCCTGTTATAACCCGTGTCTCCAAAGAGCCAACCTGTTTAACCTCACAGTGGGTGTCGGAACACATTTCCAAAATTGTAAAACAAGACTGATGACATTTACAGCACAGCACAATACCATACAGTCCAGTAACTGACACACACACACACACACACACACACAAGTGGAGGAGCAGGGGTGATGTACAGTACAGTACAGTAACTGACACACAAACAAATGAAGCAGGGGTGATGTACAGTACAGTACAGTAACTGACACACACACAGGTGGAGCAGGGGTGATGTACAGTACAGTACAGTACAGTAACTGACACACACAAGTGAAGCAGGGGTGATGTACAGTACAGTACAGTAACTGACACACACACAGATGGAGCAGGGGTGATGCAGTACAGTACAGTAACTGACACAGTGGAGCAGGGGTGATGTACAGCAGTACAGTAACTGACACACACACAGGTGGAGCAGGGTGATGTACAGTACAGTACAGTAACTGACACACACACAGGTGGAGCAGGGGGTACAGTACAGTACAGTAACTGACACACAAACAAGTGAAGCAGGGTGATGTACAGTACAGTACAGTAACTGACACAACACAGCAGGGAGCAGGGGTGATGTACAGTACAGTACAGTACAGTAACTACACACACACAAGTGAAGCAGGGGTGATGTACAGTACAGTACAGTACAGTAACTGACACACAAACAAGTGAAGAGGGGTGATGTACAGTACAGTACAGAACTGACACACACACAGGTGGAGCAGGGGTGATGTGAGTACAGTACAGTAACTGACACACAAACAAGTGAAACAGGGCGATGTACAGTACAGTACAGTACAGTAACTGACACACACACAGGTGGAGCAGGTGATGTACACAGTACAGTAACTGACACACACACAGGTGGAGCAGGGGTGATGTGTACAGTACAGAAACACACACACACAGGTGGAGCAGGGGTGATGTACAGTACAGTACAGTACAGTAACTGACACACACACAGGAGCAGTGGTGATGTACAGTACAGTACAGTAACTGACACACACACAGGAGCAGCGGTGATGACAGTACAGTACAGTAACACACACACACAGGTGGAGAAGTGGATGTACAGTACAGTACAGTAACTGACACACAAACAAGTGAAGCAGGGGTGATGTACAGTACAGTACAGTACAGTAACTGACACACACACAGGTGGAGCAGGGTGATGTACAGCAGTACAGTAACTGACACACACACAGGTGGAGCAGGGTGATGTACAGTACAGTACAGCAACTGACACACACAGGTGGAGCAGGGGATGTACAGTACAGTACAGTAACTGACACACAAACAAGTGAAGCAGGGGTGATGTACAGACAGTACAGTACAGTAACTGACACACACAGATGGAGCAGGGTGATGTACAGTACAGTACAGTAACTGACACACACACAGGTGGAGCAGCGGTGATGTACAGTACAGTACAGTACAGTAACTGACACACACACAGGTGGAGCAGGGTGATGTACAGTACAGTACAGTAACTGACACACACACAGGTGGAGCAGCGGTGATGTACAGTACAGTACAGTAACTGACACACACACAGGTGGAGCAGGGGTGATGTACAGTACAGTACAGTAACTGACACACACACAGGTGGAGCAGTGGTGATGTACAGTACAGTACAGTAACTGACACACACACAGGTGGAGCAGGGGTGATGCACAGTACAGTACAGTAACTGACACACACACAGGTGGAGCAGGGGTGATGTACAGTACAGTACAGTAACTGACACACACACAGGTGGTGCAGGGGTGATGACAGTGCAGTACAGTAACCCACAGGTGGAGCAGGGTGATGCACAGTACAGTACATGTTTACACACACAGGTGGTGCAGGGGTGATGTACGTATGCAATACATGACACACACACAGGTGGAGCAGCGGTGATGTACAGTACAGTACAGTAACGGCACACACACAGGTGGAGCAGCGGTGATGTACAGTACAGTAATAGCAACACACACAGGTGGAGCAGGGTGATGTACAGTACAGTACAGTAACAACACACACACAGGTGGAGAAGCGGTGATGTGGTGGTAACTGACACACACAGGTGGAGCAGCGGTGATGTACAGTACAGTACAGTAACTGACACACACACAGGTGGAGCAGGGGTGATGTACAGTACAGTACAGTAAGTGACAAAACACAACCAAGGTGGAGCAGGGGTGATATACAGTACAATACAGTAACTGACACACACAGGTGGAGCAGGGTGATGTACAGTACAGTACAGTGTAACTGACACACAAACAAGTGAAGCAGGGTGATGTACAGTACAGTACAGTAACTGACACACACAGGTGGAGCAGGGGTGATGTACAGTACAGTGCAGTAACCCGACACACACACAGGTGGAGCAGGGGTGATGTACAATACAGTGCAGTAACTGACACACAAACAAGTGAAGCAGGGGCGATGTACAGTACAGTACAGTACAGTAACTGACACACACAGGTGGAGCAGGGTGACTGTACAGTACAGTACAGTAACTGACACACACACAGGTGGAGCAGGGTGATGACGGTACAGCAATGACACACACACAGGGGAGCAGGGTGATGTACAGTACAGTACAGCACCACACACACACAGGTGGAGCAGGGGTGATGTACAGTACAGTACAGTAACTGACACACACACAGGTGGAGCAGGGGTGATGTACAGTGCAGTACAGTAACTGACACACACACAGGAGCAGTGTGGATACAGTACAGTACAGTAACTGCAACACACACACAGGTGGAGCAGGGTGATGTACAGTACAGTACAGCACACACACACACAGGTGGAGCAGGGTGTGTACAGCACAGACACACACACACAAGTGGCAGTGATGTACAGTAAGCACAGTAACTGAACACACACACAGGTGGAGCAGCGGTGATGTACGTACAGTACAGTAACTGACACACACAGTGGAGCAGGGGTATGTACAGTACAGCACAGTAACTGACACACACACAGTGGGAGCAGGGTGATACAGTACAGTACAGTAACTGACACAAACACAGGTGGAGCAGCGGTGATGTGTACAGTACAGTACAGTAACTGACACACACACAGGTGGATCAGGGGTGATGTACAGTACAGCATAGCACTGACACACACACAGGTGGAGCAGGGGTGATGTACAGTCAGTACAGTACAGTACAGTAACTGACACACACACAGGTGGAGCAGGGGTGCGGCTGTACAACCAACAGAAGCACCTGGCGGCAGTCAAGAAGTGGAAACAGGCGCTGCGTCGCATCAACAAAGACAACGATAAGTTCATCACATTAGGTTACCTAAGCCAAGCTCATCTGGACTGGGGTCGATACAGGTACGTTATATGTTTTGTCTCCCCTATGAATACTGTATACCACGTACAGTATGTCAATCATGTGTCTACCATCCACCCATCCTTACATCCAACCCGTGTCCACCATCCACCCTGTCCCCACATCCAACCCTGCGTCCACCATCCAACCTGGTCCACCATCCCCATCCTCTCCATCCACCTGTGTCCACCATCCACTGCGTCCCCACATCCACCTGCGTCCACCATCCTGCGTCCACCATCCACCTGTCCCCACATCCAACCTGCAGTCCACCATCCACCCTGTCCCCACATCCACCTGCCCACCATCCACTCCACTCTCACATCCACCTGTGTCTCACCATCCACTGTGTCCTTACATCCACCCCTGTGTCTACCATCCACCCTGTGTCCACCATCCACTGTGCCCTACATCCACCCCGTGTCCACCATCCACCTGTCTCTTACATCCACCCTGTGTCCACCATCCACTGTGTCCCCACATCTACCCTGTGTCTACCATCCACCTGTCTCCACATCCACCCCTGTGTGTCCACCATCCACTGTGTCTCCCACATCCACCCCCAGGCCCACCATCCACCCTGTGTCCACCATCCACTGTGTCTCCACATCCACCCCTGTGTCCACCATCCACTGTGTCTCCCACATCCACCCCTGTGTCCACCATCCACTGCGTCCCCACATCCACCTGCGTCCACCATCCACCGTGTCCCACATCCACCTGCACCACCATCCACTGTGTCCCCACATCCAACCCTGTGTCCACCATCCACCGTGTCCACATCCACCTGCATCCACCATCCACTGTGTCCTCCACATCCACCCCAGTTCACATCCACCGTGCTCCCACATCCCCCCTGTGTCTACCCCATCCACCGTGCTCCCACATCCACCCCCAGGTCCACCATCCACCGTGTCCCCACATCCACCCTGTGTCCACCATCCACTGTGTCCCCACATCCAACCTGTGTCCACCATCCACTGCGTCCCACATCCACCCTGTGTCCACCATCCACCTGTTCCCCAAAACCAACCAGGTCCACCATCCACCTGTCCCTACTCCAACCTGCGTCCACCATCCACCGTGTCCCACATCCAACCCAAGGTCTCACCATCCACCGTGTCTACCATCCACTCATCCCTCCCCCATCCAACCTGTGTCCACCATCCACTGTGTCCCCACATCCAACCTGTGTCTCACCATCCACTGTGTCTCACATCCAACCTGTGTCTCACCATCCACTCTGTCTCTACATCCACCCCAGGCTCCACATCCACTGTGTCTCCCACATCCACCCTCAGTCCACCATCCACTGTGTCCCCAACCACCCCAGGCCCACCATCCACCGTGTCCCCACATCCACCCCTGCGTCCACCATCCACTGCGTCTCCCATCCACCCTGCACCAACCCAGGTCCACCATCCACTGTGTCCCCACATCCAACCTGCGTCCACCATCCACTGCGTCCACCATCCACCGTCCCCACATCCACCTGCCCATCCAATCGCGTCCACCATCCACCTGTGTCCTCACATCCAACCTGCGTCTCACCATCCACTGTGTCTCACATCCAACCTGTGTCTCACCATCCACCGTGTCCCTCACATCTCACCTGCACCATCCACCGTGTCCCCACATCCACCCTGTGTCCACCATCCACTGTGTCTCCCACATCCACCCCAGGTCTACCATCCACTGCTCTCTTACATCCACCCCTGTGTCTACCATCCACTCTGTCTCACATCTACCCCTGTGTCTACCATCCACTGTGTCTCCAACATCCACCCCAGTCTACCCATCCACTGTGGCCCACCCATCCACCTGTCTCTTACATCCACCCTGTGTCTACCCATCCACTGTGTCCCACATCCACCTGCAGTCCACCATCCACTGCTGTCCCCATGATCCAACCCAGGCCCACCATCCACCTGTCCTCTACCACCTGCGTCCACCATCCACTGTGTCCTCACATCCACCTGCGTCTCACCATCCACTTCAGTCTCCACCATCCACCTGTCCCCACATCTACCTCCCAGTCTTCACCATCACCACGTGTCTCACATCCACCTGTGTCCACCATCCACTGTGTTCCCCACATCCACCCCAGGCTCCACCATCCACTGTGTCCCCACATCCACCTGTCTCCCATCCACTGTGCCCCACATCCACCTGGGTCCACCATCCACTGCAGCCCCACACCATCCCTGCAGGCTCCAACATCCACTGCAGTCCCCATCATCCAGGCCCACCATCCACTCCTGACCCATGTCCACCATCCACCTGTCTCCACATCCACCCCGGTCTCACCATCCACTGTGTCCCCACATCCAACCTGTGTCTCACCATCCACTCCTGTCCCCACATCCACCTCATCCCACCATCCACTGTGTCTTCACCATCCACTGTGTCTTTACATCCAACCCTGTGTCCACCATCCACTTGCCCCTACATCCACCCTGTGTCCCACCATCCACTGTCCCCACACCACCCTGGCCCACCATCCACGTGCTCCCTACATCCACCCAGGTCCACCATCCACCTTGTCTCCACATCCACCCCAGGTCCACCATCCACTCGTGTCCCCACACACACCATCCACTGCCCCCACATCCACCTGCACCACCACTGTGTCCCCACATCCACCTGCGTCTCACCACTCCACTGTGTCTCACCATCCACCGTCCCACAACCCACCTCAGGTTCACCATCCACCGTGTCCTACATCCACCCCAGGTTCCACCATCCACCGTGTCCTCACACACCCAGGTCTTCCACCACTGTGTCTCCACATCCACCCCAGGTTCACCATCCACTGTGTCTCCCCACATCCCAGGTCCACCATCCACCTGTCCCCACATCCACCCTGTCTCACCATCCACTGCGTCCCCACACCCCAGGCCCACCATCCACCAGGTCCCCACATCCACCCCCAGGGCCCACCATCCACTGCGTCCCCACATCCACCCTGCGTCCACCATCCACCGTGTCCCCACATCCACCTGCTCCCCACCATCCACTGCCCCACACCACCCCTGTGTCCACCATCCACCTGTCCCCACATCCACCTGCGTCCACCCATCCACTGTGTCCCCACATCTCCACCCGGTCTCCATCCACCGTGTCCCCACATCCACCCTCAGGCCCACCATCCACCTGTCCTCACATCCACCCAGTTCACCATCCACTCTGTCTCACATCCACCCTGTGTGTTCACCATCCACCTGTCCCCATCCACCCCAGGCCCACCACTGCAGTTCCACATCCACCCCAGTTCCCCATCCACTGTGTCCCCACATCCAGGGCCCACCATCCACCTGTGTCCCACACCAACCCTGGCCCCACCATCCACCCATCCTCACATCCACCTGTTCACCATCCACTGTGTCCCTCTACCAACCTCAGTCTCACCATCCACTGTGTCCCCACATCCTGTGTCTCACCATCCACCGTGTCCCCACATCCACCCCAGGTCTCACCATCCACCGTGTCCCCACATCCACCCCTGGTTCACCATCCACACTGCTCCCCACATCTCACCATGGTCTACCACCACTGCAGCTTCACCATCCACACTGCCCTCTCATCCAACCTGTGTCTCACCATCCACCTGTTCCCCACAATCCATCCCCAGGCCCACCATCCAACCACCGTGTCTCACCACCAACCTCTGGACCATCCCCACCACCGTGTCCCCACACCAACCTGTGTCTCCCCATCCACTGCCCCATCCACCCTGCAGGCCCACCATCCACTGCCCACACCCAACCCCCACATCCACACCCACCATCCACTGTGTCCCCACATCCAACCTGCGTCCACCATCCACTGTCTCCATCCACCTGCGTCCACCATCCACTGGTGTCCTACATCCAATCCCTGTGTCTCACCATCCACCTGTCCCTCTACTCACCTGTCTCACCATCCACCGTGTCTCACCATCCACTGTCCTCCAGATCCACCCTGTGTCCACCACTCCACTGCAAACCACCATCCTGCCCACCATCCACTGTGTCCCCACATCCAACCCAGGCCCCCATCCACTGCTCCCCACATCCACCACCACATCCACCCTGTCCCTACATCCACACCATCCACTGCGTCCCCACACTCCAAGGCCCACCACCATCCACTGTGTCCCCACATCCAACCTGTGTCCCACCATCCACTGCTGTTCCCCACATCCACAGGTCCACCACCACTGTGTCTCACCATCCACCCTGTCTCACATCCACACCCCAGTTCACCATCCACTGTGTCCCCACATCCAACCTGTGTCCACCATCCACCGTGTCTCACATCCACCTGTGTCTCCACCATCCACTGTGTCTCACATCCAACTCTGTGTTCACCATCCACCTGTCTCCACACCACTCCAGCCCACACCACTCTCCACATCCACCCTGCGTCCACCATCCACTGTGTCTCCACACCAACCTGCAGTCCACCATCCACTGTGTCTCCACACACCCCAGGCCCCACCATCCACTGTGTCTCCACATCTGAGTCTCCCACCATCCACTGTGTCCCCACATCCAACCCAGGCCCACCATCCACTGTGTCCCTACATCCACCCGTCTCACTCCATCCACTGTGTCTCACCATCCACTGTGTCCCTTACATCCACCTGTGTCTCACCCATCCACTGTGTCCACCATCCACTGTGTCCTTCCATCCACCCTGTGTCTCACCATCCACCTGTCTCTACATCCACCTCATGTCTCACCATCCACTGTCTCCCATCCACCCTGCACATCCACTGTGTCCCTACATCCACCCCTGTGTCCACCATCCACCGTGTCTCCCACATCCACTCCCCAAGGCCCACCATCCACTCTCTTACATCCACCCTGTGGCCCACCATCCACTCTGTCTCTTACATCTAACCCTGTGCCCACCATCCACTGTGCTCCCACATCCACATCCAGTCCACCATCCACCGTGTCTCCCCACACCCAGGTCTCCCATCCACCGTGTCCCCCACATCCACCCCAGGTGTCCATCCACTGTGTCCCCACATCCACCTGTGTCCACCATCCACCTCTTACATCCACCCTGTGTCTCCACCATCCACTCTGTCCCCACATCCACCCCAGTGTCTACCATCCACTGCAGTTCCCACATCCACCCCAGTCTCACCATCCACTGTGTCCCCACATCCACCCTGTGTCCACCATCCACTGTGTTCCCCATCCAACCTGTGCCACCCATCCACTGAGGTCCCCACATCCACCTGCAGGTCCACCATCCACTGTGTCCCCACATCCACCCTGTGTCTCACCATCCACTTCCCCATCCACTGTGTCCCCACATCCACCCAGCCCACCACTGTGTCCACCATCCACTGTGTCCCCACATCCCTGGCCTCACCATCCCACCTGTCCTCCATCCAACCTGTGTCTCCCCATCCACTGTGTCCCCACATCCACCTGCTGTCTCACCATCCACTGTGCTCCTCACATCCACCCCTGTGTCTCACCATCCACTCGTCCCCAGATCCACCTGCAGGTTCACCATCCACTGTCACATCCACCATCACCTCTACATCCTCCCCACTCCACTGTGTCTCACATCCACCCCAGGCTCCACATCCACTGTGTCTCCATGACTCCACACCTGGCAGGTCCACCATCCACTGTGTCTCTTACATCTCACCCCAGCTCACCCTGTGTCCCCACACCACCCTGGCCCACATCCACTCGTGTCTCCCCACATCACCCAGCTCTCCACCACCAGTGTCACTCCCATCCACTGTGTCTCACATCTCACTGTGTCTCACATCCACTCGTGTCTCACATCTCACCTGTGTCTACCACTTCCTTACATCTACCCTGTGTCTACCCATCCACTGTGTTCTTACATCTCACCCTGTGTCCACCATCTACTGTGTTCTTCATCTCAGTGGTCTACCATCTACTGTGTCTCCTACATCTACCCTGTGTCTACCATCTACCCTGTGTCTACCATCTACTCTGTCTCCTACATCTACCCTGTGTCTACCCATCTACTCTGTCTCCTTACATCCACCCTGTGTCTACCATCTACTCTGTCTCTCTTA